AGAAAAAAACATTACTGAAGTACAGTGTAACTGTTATAATAAACTGCATAATAGACAAGGATGGCAGAAATTTATTTGTGCCCTAGGATACCTGACAGAATGAGAAGCTTATTTTTCAGACAAGATACTAACAATTACAAAGTCAGCACCCTAGAAGTCTTACTAGGCAAAGTAAAAATATCCCTTTACACTGCATAATAATAACAACTGCATAATAATGATTTGACCAGAAGTCAAATTCATTCCTGGTAGAATTTTTTTGCCTCTAGGAAAGAGATGAAGATGTTGTCACCTTTTGTGCACACATTCACTGTGTTGCGGGTTTTTTGTTACTATTTTTTGTAACCTCAACCCCAAGAGGTTTAATGCATTTTAATTTCTTTTTAAGTAGGTCACTGTTTTTTCCTTTCCTGCACTGCCCCGCTTCTAAAACAACTTGTAGTCTAAAACTTTATTTATGCTCCTTAGGGAAAAAAAAAAGCTCTGCAGAAATTTCAAATCTATTTTAGCAATTTTACTGTATTCCAGTTTAACCTCACCCACTCAATACCCACAGGCTGTTCTCGAGTTCTTGCCTTTCCATCTGCTAGTCCTTCACAGATAAGGATTCGGGGAGGAAGGCATTCCAGAAGGGTGAAAGCTGCATACTGCAGAAAAGAGGAAACTTGTTCTTAAAGAGTATGACAAGGCAATGCCACTTGTTACTAAAGCTGTCACCATTCTGGTCATGCACGATCTTTGTGAGGACAATAACACACTGACCATCAGAAGCTTAAAAGAAAACAGCCTAAAATTCCATCCCATTATGTCCTTCCTGTACTTATCTCCACTGAAAATTAGTTACCTCTCCTCCCACCTCCCAGAAGACCTGGAGAACTTGGTAATAACCCACAAAATGTAAAAAAAAATAATTTACACAGCATGAGGTGGGGAGAGATTGCAGACAGGGAGTGACAAGAATTACAGTACATTCAGGTAGCGACTGTGTACAAGGGCGTTCATCTCTGACTGCTTGTCTGAAAGGTGGAGAGAGTGCATTGCTAGTTTTTTTGCTTGGGATGCTAGAGGCTGCAACATCACTGGCTGCATCTGGTCAGCACCCTTCAGGGTTCAGCTTAGGAATCAAGGGTCATGCCACAGGGACTGCAGTGTTACTTGGAGCTTGTGAAAGCAAGTAGAGCAACACTGAAGACTCCCATCTCTGCCAGCACAAGATGCGAGGTTCACAGGCACTGTGGGAGGAAGGCATAAATAATAAATGAGCTAAATAATGAAGACTAGCTGTACCTAATTATAGTTCTAGCTGCCCTTTTGAAAGGAAGTTCAAAGCAGCTGCAAAAAGATGCTGATCCCTTTTCTGAATGGTGTTTGAACTTCACGGATGATTAACATGAGAAAGTCAGGAGATGCCAATGGAAGGCACACCAGCCTCTCATAGCTTTGTTGAAGAGAGAAGCAACGTCTCTTACAGCAGTTTATTTACACATCAAAACATTGTTAAGCTTAAATTAATATTTAGCTTGAATACAGAAGCAATGTAAGAATTAAAATTAAATTATGTAGATTATTTAGAGGCTGTTACTCCTTATAGCTTTTGGTAGCTGACTTGAGGGACTAACTTAGGAAATTAGCTCTTCAGGCTCTGTACAGTAAGGAAAGAGTCAGTAACTTCAGGAGGAGTGCAAGTTCAATGGCCTAGGCATTGAAGTGTCTAATGCTAAGTGTCTGAAAACATTTACCTCCTCATCCCTCTCTATTAATAGTTTAATTGAGAAGAACTTGTTCCTAGTGCCCATGCTGCAAACCAGGGATTATGAATTCCTGGGATCACTGGGAACTGAAATGCTCTCAGACCAGGGAAAGTTCATGGTCCATGGAATAGGATGCCAGTTTACAGGTTGGTGGATTTGTGTTCTTTTCCAGCTCTTGGTGACTTCTTGTGACTGACTGGTGGTCAGCACACATTTGCCTCACGTTTCCTATCTGTAAAATAAATATAATAATTTCTAATCACATTCTAAAAGAATTTCTATTCTTTGGATAACAAAGTGTTAATTAAATACTGACTGTGATTATTTAATTCCCAGCACAAATATCTATCTGTATGGGCACATTTAAATTATTGTTACATATTTCTAAATAATGTGAGTAGTAGAAATAGAAGACAATTTAAATTAAATTATTTTCTAAACTTTGAGTGCATTTCCACTTTCCTACATAATGCAAAATGTACTTCCACATAAAGGTGAAATTTAAACTGCTACAGCATATTGAAACGAACTGCATTTGTAGAAAGTACAAACCTAATGAAGGGACTTACAGAATTGTACAATGCCTTTGTGCAAACAGTAAACACCATTAAGATGTTTTTCATCATCCTTTATTCTATCAGTGGAAGAATGTTTCATATTACTGCATAGGCTTGCTCGCTAGACCTCAGTAACACTAAACCAACATCTAGGAACATAAGCAATGTGCAGGCAATGTTGAATAAGGTGCAGTGTGTTCTTAAAGAAGCACATGGTAAAGAAAAAAAAACATATCATGTTACTGTAATGCCATCTGTATACAGAACAGACTATATCATGAAGGAATGCCAACAAGTCATCTTTGAAGTTACACACAGATTCCTTTTGTATTTAAATGTATGTCAGACTTCATGATATAAAACGAAATAACTGGCTAAACCATGTGTCAATATTTTACTGAGCTCATGTCTCCACAGCTAACTTCCTTTTACTTATTCAGTGAGTGCTGTATAAAGGATGCTGAGGTTACAAGCATTTATTTGCATTAGGCACACAATAGGGCTTTAGCCTATTTTCACTGTTGCTCCGTCACTTACTGGTACTGCTACTGTTTGCTTCAAGCAAATTGTAGAACAAATATGCAAATTTATCGTCTCTAGGACTCAAGCCATGGAACCAAAGCAACCATCAGCAAAAGAACTGAAATATATTTGTTGTATGCAATGGGCTGTGGAAGCTCATATCCCAGAAAACAGTGTATCTGGTCCTTGGTTCAGAACAACAGTTCAGTTCTCTCTCCTTTAGTGTAGCTGTAGCACTCACTTTCCACCAGCAGAGAAGATGTGGCCAGTGGCAGTGTCATGCTCCTTCTTTATAAATGTCTTTTCAGATGCTTTAACACCTACTACACCTTCCAGGTTTCTCTGATATGGTGAGGACTATTATCATCCCAGACAGCCCCTGCATCCCCAGCAGGAGTCCCCGGTGCTCACGTACAGTTCTAATTGTTATTCAGCAGTGTGGCTAAGTAACTGTGGGTTGGTTTTCTTTCCGTGTTCCATGTGTCTTCTCCATTTTTTTTCCCCTCCAGTCTCCATCTTTCTGCAGTTACTTCTCTGAAGAAAAACATTCTGCAGAAGTGGTTCCATGTACAACCTCAACAGCACCCGTACAGTAATCTTTTGTTGGAAGACCTCCTTCTGTGATGCTAATAAATACCCATTCTGCTATTTACAGTTCTCAGGTGAGTGTGTTTAATGAGCAGGCAGTTCATTGCCTGCACTGTCTCTAGTTTGCTTGCAGAAATGAGTCTCAGATAATACTTTACACTAATTCTGCTCCGTAGTATATACATTTTTTGATTAATTTAATCTATCATAAGGATAGCAACATTTTTTTCGTCTGAAACACTCCTGAGTATATAGGCCAGTTTTTTTGAACAGTGTTACAGTATGAAGATTGCAACTAAGAATGTTTTGGTTTCCGATGTTTTTAGGTCTTAATTATTTAATATGATCTCTTCTGTTTGTCCCCTGTGTTTCCTCACTTCCTAAAATAGATCACTGCACTGGTTAAATACGAACATACCAATGTATAATGCTGACATTTCAGTTAGATCTTAGTAGCCTTTCTTTTTCTTTTTTACACAGTTGACAGCAGAACTGATTGAAGGTGTTTCAATGTGATGAAAAATCTGATACCATTTGATAGTTTTTATGTTCTGTCCAGATGACCTGTTTTCAGAAGAACCTCTTAAAAATGGCTTGCCAACATTCACAGTCCCTATACTGCAAGTTACTTACTATTCATACTACTTAATGTTAGACGATGTATCATAAAACAATTCAAAATGAATGCTTTCAAGTATGATTGGTGGGGAATGCAGGGGGGATCCTCTTCAGAGCGGAGGAGGAGGTGGTAAGAGATGTTGGAACATCAGCTGATGCTTTTTGCAAACCTGCTGAGTATTCATTGTTATAAAATACTTCCTTCTTAGCTGTTATTTGAAAAATGTGAATTTATTTTACAGTGAGAAAAATACACTTGCATTCCTCATCACAAGACCTGAAGAATAAGGAGCCTGCACAAGGATGGATCTGTGAGGGATGTTTCTAACAACCTGTTACATCCAAGGAAGAGCCTTCTTCAGTTCCAACATTTGTGCTGTATTAACTGAAATACACGGCAAAATGAGAATGTACCAAACGCCAAGAAGACAATCCAATTTCTAGTCTTGCTTTTTTTTCTGATCAAAGGAGGTCAAAACATAGATGCAAGCAGTTCAAACATTAAATACCCCAATCAACTGTGTAGAAAGGAGAACAGAGGACCAAAAAACCCTCACCAGTTTCTGCAATTTCCCCTTGTTTATTACAGATACTTGCTTCCAACGGAATTCGTTTTTTTCATGCAGATATATATCACAGAAGGTTTAAATTCACGGCATACTCTAGTACAGACCTTGTGGTTTCCTTCCCTTACTTAACACAACCCCCCCGCGACTGGCGGGGCAGGAATTCACCCGCCTGCAGGAGGGACAGCCCGGAGAACTCCTCCCTCCAGAGCAGGCAGTCACGACAGCAGCCGCGACACCTGCCAGAGGAGCGCAGTGAGCGCCAGCCCCGTTCATTTTGGACGAGCGACCATCACAAGGGAAGGCACGAACCGACCTGCGCTCACAGCACTCGGTACACCGGCAGCCTGCGAGCCCGCCCAGGCGTCCAGCTCGCGCAACCGGGCGTCGCCGGCGCATGCGCGGAGCGCAGGTCTCCTTGCCGCCGTGCGGAGGGCGAGCGTAGGCCTCAAGGAGAGGGAAGAGAAGGGGGGGCGGGGGTCGCCGCTCCTGCCGCCGACATGTTCCTGTGCGCTCCCCTGCGGGCTGCGGCCCAACACTCGGTAAGGGAGGGTGCTGTGGGTGACACGTCTGTTTTCGCCGGTTGGCGCAGGGAGC